ACTCAGTCTGTTCAATAAAGTACACAAAGATATAGAATTTACCATGGAACATGAAGTTGATGATAAATTCCATTTCCTAGATATTGGAATTAGGCGAACATCAGGTGGCACACTACAAAGATACATTCACCGCAAAAATACTTGGAGCGGAGTTTATCTCAACTTTAACAGCTTCTGTCCAATGAGTTATAAAAAGGGTATTGTGCGAAACCTTTTTGACCGCGCACGAAAAATCTGCTCAAAAGAATGCCTCGAAGAAGAAATTGCCACAATCACCAAATGCCTACGTGGAAATGCATATCCGGAGAAATTTATCCACAAATATGCTAATACAAACCCTCCGATTAAGTATGATACAGTTGAAAAGAAAACCTGCTTCCTATCCTTGCGCTTCAAAGGAGATGAAGTCGCCGGAATTATCAATCACAGAATTAATTCCGCTTTAAAAGTGACCACCCGGCAGCCAAACTGACTACGTTATGGAAAACATACTGCTCACTGAAACAAACGAAAATCGACAAGTCCTCCCCCCTCAGTTGCTCCAACTGCATTTACCAATTCACATGTACGTGCCGTAGCACATACATTGGAAGAACTGAGAGAAGAGTACAGGTTCGCATTTCTGAGCATATTCCGAAGAACTTGACGCTGCGAGGGACTAAAGCTTTTAACAGTGCAATAGCTCGGCATCTACTTGACACCGGGCATACCGTCGATATTATGCACGCGTTTAAAATAATCAATAGACAAAGAACTACTACCACTCTCCGCTTTGCTGAAGCCATTGCAATTAAGAAACTGAAACCGGACTTATGCATCCAAAAAGAGACTTTAATAAACTTATCACTACCCTGGTAATCTTTCTGTTTCTGTTTGTTTTGTGTTTTGGTTATTTTATTCATTTACTTATTCTAAGATAATTTATACTCCCCCCCTATTACCTGATTCTTAAAATAAATTTTATTCACACATTTCCGTCACCTGATCCTCTTAAATCATCTTAACTTTCCAAACCCTATTTAATTATTATTACGTAATCTACCTTATTTAATTCCATTAATCTCTACAATTATCACACAATTTATGAACTTCACTAAATTATTACACCACCCACCCTGGATTAACTCCCCTCTTTTGACCTCTGACCTGTTTCTAGCATATATATATAGTTATTATTGTAATCACGTTATTTACACTCATTTATGTCAATTGTTTCACACTATCTCCATGTAAAAATTCTATCACAATTTTGGTTTGTAAGCAGCTGACGAGAAACCTCGAAATAATATGAATTCATACTATTCTACATCAATGTTTGTTCTTGCTCTATTTGAATGTAAATAATTGGAATGACAAATGTTATCAATAATAACTATACACATATGCATACAAGAACAGGTCAGAGGTTATTTGGTGCTAGAATTAAGGAAACAATTAAGGATGGATAGTGTGATAGTTGAGTGTAGTTCAGAGACTGATAAATTGTGTGATAATTTTAGAGGTAATGAAAGAATCATGGGACTAAACAGTGATAAGATAGGTTACGTAATAATTGAATAGAGTTTGAAAAGTTCACATAATTTAAGAGGGTAAGTGGGCGGAAATGTGTGAATGGAAAGTTGGTTTAAGAATTCGGTAATGAGGGAGGAATGTAACAAAATAAATGATATAAAAAATAGATAAATGAATAAAATAACACAAATAACCAAAAAACAATAAAAATGAAATAAAAATGGATTACCAGGGTAATAAGTTTATTACTGTCTCTTTTTGAATACATAAATCCGGTTTAAGATTTTTATCGCGATCGCTTCAGCTTCAGCTTCTCATGTCTATTTCTATTTCCCGGAGTAATGTGTTCTTTGGTCTTCCTCTTTTCCTTTGGCCTTGAGGATTCCATGTGAGGGCTTGTCTTGTGACGCAGTTCAGTGCTTTCCTCAATGTGTGTCCTATCCACTTCCAGCGCTTCTTCTTCCTGATTTCTTCCTCTGCTGGGATCTGGTTTGTTCTCTCCCACAGTACGTTGTTGCTAATAGTGTCCGGCCAACGGATCTGAAGTATGTTGCGTAAACAACTGTTAATAAACACCTGTATCTTCTGCATGATGGCTTTCGTAGTTCTCCAAGTTTCTGCCCCATACAGTAGAACTGTCTTGACATTTGTATTGAAAATCCTGACCTTGGTGTTGGTTGACAGTTGCTTTGAGTTCCAGATGTTCCTCAGTTGTAAATACGCTGCTCTTGCTTTGCCGATCCGCGCCTTCACATCTGCATCACATCCACCCTGTTCATCAATGATGCTGCCCAAATATGTAAAGGTTTTTACATCTTCCAAATCGTCTCCGTCAATTGTGATTGGATGGGTGCATTCTGAGTTGTATCGGAGAATCTTGCTTTTCCCTTTGTGTATATTGAGACCTACTGCTGCTGAGGTTGCTGCTTCACTGGTCGTCTTCTCCTGCATTTGTTGTTGCGTTTGGGATAGAAGGACCAGACCATCTGCGAAGTCTAGATCATCCAGTCGATCACCAGGAGAAAGAGAAAGGGTGAGAGTAAGCAACCTTGCCTAACACCGGTCTTCACTTTGAACGACTTTGTCAACTGTCCTCCATGCACGATTTTGCAGTGTAATCCATCATATGAGTTCTGTATGATATTGACTATCTTCTGAGGCACGCCGTAGTGTCGAAGAAGTTTCCATAGTGTTGTTCTGTCCACGCTATCAAATGCCTTTTCGTAGTCAATGAAGTTGATGTAGAGTGATGAATTCCATTCAATTGATTGTTCCACAATGATCCGTAGAGTTGCGATTTGGTCTATACACGATCTATCCTTACGGAATCCTGCTTGTTGTTCACGAAGTTGGGCGTCTACGCAGTCCTTCATCCTGTTTAACAATACCCTGTTGAAGACTTTTCCCGGTATTCAGAGAAGAGTGATGCCCCTGTAGTTATCACACTTGCTGAGATCGCCTTTCTTTGGTATTTTGATCAGAAGTCCTTCTTTCCAGTTTGTTGGTACTTGTTCCTCATCCCAAATCTTATTGAAGAGGATGTGGAGTATCCTTGCAGTTGCCGCTACGTCTGCTTTTAGTGCATCTGCTGGAATGTTGTCTGGTCCTACTGCTTTGCCACTCTTTATTTGTCTGATGGCCATGCTGATTTCTTCAATTGTTGGTGGGCCAACATTAATTGGCAGGTCCGTGGGTGCTGCTTCGATGTTTGGTGGGTTCAGTGGAGCTGGTCGATTCAAGAGTTCTTTGAAGTGTTCTACCCACCTGTTTTGTTGCTCTTCAATGTTGGTGATTACTTCGCCTTCCTTGCTTTTCACTGGTCGTTCTGGTTTGCGGCGATTTCCAGAGAGTTTCTTTGTCGTGTCATACAGTTGTCTCATGTTTCCTTCTCTTGCAGCCTTTTCCGCCGTCGTTGCTGAATCTTCCACATATTTACGTTTGTCGGTTTTGATGCTCCTCTTCACTTGTTTGTTTACTCCTGTGTATCCAGCTTGTGCCTTGGCTTTTTCTGCTCTTGTTTGACTGATATTGATTGCTGCCTTCTTGTTCCTCCTCCCTTGAATCTTATCCAGTGTACCAACAGTGATCCATTCCTTGTGATGGTGCTTCTTGTGACCCAGGACCTCATGACATGCTGAAGTGATTGCCTTTTTGATCCCCTTCCAGTTGCTTTCCACAGTAGTTCCTTCTCCATTGAGTAGATCATGAAAGGCCTGGAACTTATTGCTGAGGACTATCTTGAGTTTGTTAGTATCCTGAAGAAAGGCCGTGTTGAAATTTTGTGATATTGTCTCATGAAATACTCAGCCGCATATTAATATTTGTGTAAAACTGTGCTGATATAAACTGCGCAAAAAACTAGAACTCAACTGCTGGAAGTAAACAAAATCTCCTGTATCACATGAACTGATATAGAAAAACTGTGAGTCTTAGTGTTGTGGATGCGGAGGAATAGACCAATAATTGTCATGTTAAGTCCAATGGTGTCCTTGGACTTTAAATGGATATTTCTATTGGTCGATATCTGTTCACTTGTTGTATATTGTACAAAATGTTGTTTTCTATTTTATGGTACGATGTGGTGTGCTGGATTGGTATATAAACAAAGTATGTTTGAAATATAATGATTCATATCTCAGAGGCTGTGACTTGTGTTCTGGACTCAACTGGCTGGGCTAGACAGGGAAGTGGGACCATTCGAGACTCTAGGCCGTTCGTTCGTGTTTACGTGTCACTCTAATCGATCGATAACACAGGGTAGAATTCGACCTCAACCTAAAGCCATAACACTTAGTAAACACTTACGTTGCAGAATATAATTAATAACGACAACCAAGTTAGTTATGTCTGACTTTTGAGTTGACTATACATCAATGAACACTGCTAACTCTTTATAAATATAACCTTCTACCAGAAGTGGGCCGTTTTTCATTCCAATTATCTACATACATTCATGGCAATTGTTTCACATAATCTCAATGTAAAAATTCTATCACATATTTGGTTGTAAGCAACTGACGAGAAACCTCGGAACAAAATGAATTCATACTATTCTGCATCAATATTTGTTCTGGCTTTACTTACATTATCATCTTGTCTAAGCTTAAGTTACACTGGGGCCACTAATCTAAGTGACTTGACTTCACGGAGCACTATTTTTTATGTTAGGCAGTTGGATTCAATCGGCAAGAAGACTTAAATCGACACACTTTACTAGTTGATAATCGTTAATAAGGCGTGTCTGTTATCTTGGGGAAATTTATTTCCTCCGTAGGATTCTAACACAATGTGAAAAAGCTATCACGAGCCATTTTCGCTGTAAGCCCTATTAGATTCACAAAGGTCAACGAATTCTCACTGACAACCACGATGATTATCTTCTGTGCATTCAAAGCATGATATTTGTAGATAACATTATATTTTCAGTATTTACAGCCTAATTTTTATCGACTAATACGAGATAGTGTGTAATTATGTTAAAAAGTAAATACGGAAATATATATTTGTATTTATATTTATACATAGTGAATAATAAATCTCTATTGAATACAGTACCATTTACATGAATTTCATGAACAAATGAAAGATTATAGAGCTATTGTTTAACTCTGTTTATGCAGTATTTAAAAATAACCTGTGGTATAAATAATAACAGTGAACAGGCAAATACTGATTATTTACAAATTTAGAGAAATAAATCTATGACACCCATTTTGATTGTTGTTTAACAGAATCAGAAAGCTGAAAATCATCTTTTTTGTATGCGTACACTAATAATAACATGAAGATGTGTATGAAAAGAAATGCAGAACGAAAAAATAAGCGTCTTATCTTCTTTGAATCGAAATGAATGCTTCCAAAACAGAAGTATGAGAATACGATCTTCTCTATATCCATAGACGTCGAGATCGTTATATGTATCGAAACCATTAATTTTAATTGTTGTCTAACAAACGACTAGTTGCAGGTCGAACTGAAATTAGAAAAAAATATACACAAAAATGCGTACACAGTGCAATCTACAAACTAGATTAAAACAAAATTGAGTTAGTGGAAACTTCATCCACTGATTTAAAAACAAAACTATCAACACAAGTGATCTAAAAGTTCGGACTATATATCATCGACCGATGTAGACTATATATTTGAATCCGACTCCACGTACTTCAGCTTGAACACACGGGTGGAATCACTGGCTTTTATAGACAGTTCGTCATTCAATCAGTTACAATCAACGTAGAACCTGACAACAATGCGTATTGGTTAGTTTCCATAACACGTTATCACGAGATTAGATTAACAAAATAAATTGCAAAGATCGAAATAATGTAGTGACGATGATACGGAAGAAGACTAATCATCGGGGATATGGTTCGAAAGAATAGAGTGAAAAAGTACGTATGAATGAATACTGAAAATCAAAACCTAGAGAACGCTAATGTAACTGTGCCGTTGTAATTGATTCTGAGCTGGGTTACACAACATCTTCAACCATTGACTACGACTATAATCTTCACCTACTGTCATAGCTCACGTCAACAGCTAATGATTTCGTGGACTGACACCACATTTTGGTTTGGCTGCCACTGGCTTCTCTCCAACTTACTCCTACACCAGCGAGCATTCACCATCGAGGTAGGCGATGGTTAGACATACGTAATATATGTCCAAACTACCTCAATGTATAAAACTTCATAACCTCATCAGCCAATTTGGCATCTTCATTTGGTATTCTATGCCCTACCTCAAAATTCCTCACATGGTTGTTCCATGATATGCAAGCAATGTTTTAAAGACGATTATAGTCAAAAACCTGTAGCGTATGAGTGTCTTTTAGTCCCATAGACCGTGTTTCTTAACTATAGAGTAATGAAGAGAGGACAAAAGGGAAGTATGCTTACCCCTTAAGTATACAGTGTGACTCAATGCTGAGTAAGTAGACCTATTTATTTGATAAATTGTTTACAATAACTAAAATACCAGTGCATGAATTAACTCCTTTGGAAGTTTCCCTTAAACGTGATAACCTTCAATTATTCCATGCTTTTTTCTGAGAACATACTATTTATTGAGAATGATACTAATAATGAGCTACCCATTTACCAACTGCAAGGCTTATTTACTATAACAAGAGCAATTTCTCGATTGTAACGAACCAAGTATAGTCTTCATTTATACTTCTATTTTCGTAATTTTCTCATTCTTCATCTCATTGTTAGCTTTTATTATACACCCTACTTTCTAAAACGTTTACTGCACGTTGTTTCCTGGTTTTCTGAATAGTAATAACTACTTTATTTCCGCCAATTGTTAATATTATTCTCGTTTGAAATAGCCATGGGTTAGTTTTTCATATACAGGACAATAATTTGGCTCTTATTTACTTAGTTCAAAGACGAAATCTTATTTATATTGTTGACGATGTAAATAACACCCAGTCACCTATTGTTTAAATGTTCTTAAACTCTTTGTGGTTATTTTATTAAGTTCAATAATGTCTTGAAAATATATGCCATTTTTAGATTTAAAGCTCTTTGTGAACAGTTCGATGATTCAGTCATAATCCTTGTAAGGATTTCACACTTATCAGTAAAAAGTTATACAATGAATTTAAGTAGGAATTTTTTTACTTAGACACCAGCTTGGCACTACATTTGTTTTAAAACTGTCTATGACTATAGCACAAACTCACGTACACGAATATGGATGATCAATAAATTTGGTCGTTGATAATGTCAAACATGTAGACTTACCTATGGCCTAAGCAATAAATAATCCGTCTCCGATGTATACTGTAGATAAAATCTGCAGAAGAATATTATTCATATGCAAGGGTTTCAGTCTTCATATTGTTAGTGTTACGCACTGCAGTTGATCGGTCCTTATTGGCACATGTGAATCCTAAGCGAATTACCTCAATACTATCCTTAAATTACAAGTTTTAGTAAGATTGGATTGGAGCTAGCAATGGGATCAATAACACGCGTTCCATTTTAATTGGGACTAGTCAGCTGGATGCATCTGAATCTTAGTGTTGATGTATATACTTAGAATTGAATCCGATACCTTTCGCTTCAAACTTCATACCTGTTGAACAAGTTGGTTGTGATATGGACTCAGGAGTTTAGTGAGTGACGCGCTAGCGCTTGAAGTTATATGGCTCGAATTTTTGTGTAAAGATCAACACTAGATGAAGGTGTAGACAGCTGACGAGTCCAAAACAGAACGAAAAGCTTGTTATGGATTCCACTGTTAGCCACAGTTCACGTTTACCAGGACATTTTTGAACCTGCTCAAAAACACAAATCTGTTATTTCAATGATGTAGACTTGGAAATTCTCCATAAAGTATTAAAAATTTAAATTACTTAATAAATCTCTTGATCAACATTTTTTTTACTACCATTAATTATTGAAACAATCATTTTTAAAAAGTGGATAACGAAACGTTACTGATGATGACTAAGACAATATACAAATCAAAATGTTATTTATTTATTTATTTGAACACATAAATATTGGAACAAGAGAGCGCCAATATATATGCGCCACACAAAACAATGAGAATTCGAAGAGAAGTAGAAAAAAAAACTAAGGAGCGCAAAAGAAAAAGAGAACAATGACGAAGAGATTGGAGTAAGGTAGTGTGGTAGTAACGACGGAACGAAAAGGTACAGTCAGAAGAAATCTTTCAGGTAAAGGAGACCCAACCACTTTTTATGAAGAAAGAAATAGAAGGTTACAGCAGGATCGCCACTGGCTTCTATTCTGAGCCATATCTGATAATGTCTCTAGCCACTGTGTAGCACCATCTCTCAGACCCCAACCAGGGAGTCGTGAAGGACCAACAGAAGCCAGTCCTTTGCAGCTTTCTTTCATACCACGACACCATGTCATGCACTGACCACCTCTCCGCTTTCTCCAACCAGTCCCAGAGTCGGCAAATAATACACGACGTGGAATTCTCCGGAACGACATTCGTAGAACATGTCCAAGCCACCGAAGTCGGTGTTTCAAGATGGTGACACCAATTGCATTATCGTCTCTGTGCCCGAACACACGACGCCGAACCTCTGCATTACTGACATGGTGTTGCCACTGGATGTCAGCAATCCTTCGGAGACAACGATGATCGAACACAGAGAGTCGTCTAACGTCCTCAACTCGGAGAGACCAGGTTTCACAAGCATAGAGCAAAACTGCTCTCACCGACGCGTTGTAGATCCGAACTTTTACAGCCAGACTAACATCACGAAGGCGCCAAAGATAGCCCAGATTGGCATAAGCCGCTCTGGCCTTCACTATACGTGCATTGATCTCATCACTCACACCCCCACCAGCACTTATGCAGCTACCCAGATACACGAACTTCTGGAATACTTCTATCTGCTCACTACCCAGGGTGAGTGCAGGATCACGTTCCTGCCAGTATTGTAAAAGTATTTTACACTTTTAAGGTGCAAAGCACATACCATACCTACGGACACTGATTGCCAACTGGTTAAGTGCGGATAGCATGCCTTGGGCATTATCGCACAGTAAGACAATATCATCCGCATACTCAAGGTCGAGAAGTCTTTCCCCAGGTAACAGATCCACACCGCCATTACTTACATCCATCAGAGCTGTCTCCAGAATGTCGTCGATAGCAAAGTTGATGAGGAATGGTGAGATTGGGCAACCCTGCCTAACCCCACTGCTCGAATGAAACAATGCAGAGAGGTGGTTGTATTCCCTTATTCTGCCTGAGATGTTTGTATATAGGGCACTTAAGATGTTAAACTTTTCGCACCCTTCTTCAATAGACAATCCCAGAGAACAGTCCTGTCCAACGAATCGAAGGCAGCCCTAATGTCAAGAAACACTACGATTGTTGACCTGTGATAAGTATGGCGGTGTTCTAACATTTGGCGGAGGGTGAAGATATGATCAATACATCCTCGACCAAAACGAAACCCAGCCTGCTCCTCGCGAGTCAATCTTTCTCGGGTTTTGAACAACCTACGAAGTATGACGGAAGCCAATAGCTTGGACGCAATCGGAAGTAGACTTATCCCCCGATAGTTGTTGCAGGAACGACGTGAACCCTTTTTAAAGATAAGGACAACTATCAACTCATTCCATGACGTTGGTACACTCTCTAGTTCCCAAACCTTTGTAAACAACGTCGTCAATTCCTTAGTCAGAAAGTCACCACCATCTTTAAAAAGAGCCGGAGGTAAGTCATCTGGGCCAGGTGATTTGTAACGCTTCAAGAGTCGGAGTTCCTTGCGGACTTCCGCCTCATTTGGTGGATCAGTCGTCACCGGCCATGGAGGGCAGGACAGTCTGACCGATGTTGCCGGAGCAGCAGGCCAGTTGAACTGCCCTTCGAAAAATTCTGCCCATCGTCCAAGACGTCGATGGATGTTAGTGATTGGCATACCATCATCCTCGCAGATTGTTTCGCTCACGCCAGACTTCTTGCTGCCAGTGGCTTGGATGAGTTGGAAGAGCTTCCGGTAGTTACCAGATGCAGCTGCTGCTTCCAGCTCATTAGCACGCTTCGACCACCAGGCTTCTCGGTCCTTACGCAAGCTTTGCCCAATTTCCTTACGTAACATCCATCGTTTGTGGTCAAACTCACGGTCACCCGGAGTAGACCGACGTGATTCAATGAGTTGTAACGAACCTGAAGAAACCCAGTGCTTATAAGCAGTTTATAAGTATCAATACCAAGGTTAGACTTGAAAATTTCAAATAAATTGAGCATTGGGTTGTTATATCCCAACGAGTAGAATAATTGTATTTCCGACGTTTCATGACTTAATAGTTAACCTGAAGAAATAGCTTACATTAAGTCACGAAACGTCAGAAATATCATTTTCTACCCATTGGGATATAACAAAAAATATAGTTATTATCAAAATGACAACTGTAATAAAAAAGAATCTCCAATTTCAATGTTTTTTTACTGATTACTCACTTGATATCACTGCTTCACTTAATTGTCGCTTTATTGTTATACCTGTTTTCGTAGCTGAAGTATTATTGATGCTATTATTAATAGTAGTAGTATTAGTGGTAGAATTAAATGAAGACGACGGAACAGATATATGACGTTTACAATCATTCATTGAAGATTGAGAAATAAATGCGGGTAAATTTGGTTTATTGATAGACATTGTAGTTGAATTATTATTGTTGTTAGTAGAGTTACTTTTAAAAGATTCTGTTTTTTGATTAGATGGTTCAATCACTCTAGGTGTTTGTATGAGTTGAATATTTCTCAGAGGAGTAACCTCTAAATTAGATGAGGTTGGACTTTTAACTTCATTAATCATTATAGGTTTATTCACAAATGTTCGAACAGTTGACCTAGTTCCAATTAGTGGAGTTTGACGTAATTGCTACATTGAATTGAATTTACAGAGAGAGAAAAACAACGAAATAAACACACAAAATAAAGAGATTTAGTTTGAAACAAGCATATCATTTAAATTTCAATTTGTTTCATGGTTATTCTGATACTTAAAACAACTGTATCAAATAAATGTGAATGACAAGTCACAATTGATTGCGTGTCTAGTCCTTATTAGTGTAGATCGAATGCTATCGACCATGTTGCAATGTGGCCACCAGCCTAGGTGACTCGACACTGCGTGCACTATTGTGAATAATAAGTATTTAAAATAAAATATTATTTCACAGTAACTGATTAGTTTCAATAAATTAATAAATTTGAAATTCAATGTTATTAATATTATACCAATAAGAAATAGATACTTTGACATTCTTATCTATCATATAAATCCTATATGAATTATATAACATACATTCAAATGATTCATTCATCAAATTGATAAGTAGTTTAAAATAAGGCGACAATGTTTCGAAGGATAAGAAAAAAAATTCCTTCATTTCAGATGTTGATTTATGCCAACAAAATGATTTGGATAATACTGTTCGATAGTTTATTAAGTAGTGTGAACCAATTCGCGTACACTACTCAATCGCATTTTTCAATAGTAATTTTGGGTTGGTTAAAAATATTTACGAACGTTTTCATCTTTGTTAAATAATAACAATAACAATCACAATAATAATAATAATAATAATAATAATAATAATAATAATAATAATAATAAAGTATACTGATATTAATGTGTCTCAGTGAGATATCAGGTAGTAGAAGTAATCTTATTTGAGATTAATTCATGTTATTTAGTGTAATCTGTTAGTTATCATCATAAGACTTCATTTGGTTATAAGACAAAGTGATCATAATGTCAGTTCGCACTGATTAACACTGAACGCCATACGTAAATGGATTGCTCTGCGCCCCGAAAATACGTGAATACAAACAGTAAAACATAACAATCAAATATTTACAATAATCAGGTAACCATATAATATATATATAGTGCAACATACAGTAACTGGGTCTCTACTATTATGAATAATTTTAGGCGATAAAAACACAGAACTTCACCCAAAATTTACTTATTCACATTGTCACATACAACTAAAGCATAAATCGATATCACGTCGAAAAAAATATACGGAAGTGAACAAAGAAGATATAAGTTAATCCGAAGTAGGCTTATATAAAATGATAAATAGTCAATATTTAAGGAATGATAAAATTGTTGAACGTACCGTCACTATTGCAATCTATTTCTAACCAGATAACTGGAAAATCTTTTTATTCCTCTAAAATACTACAAACCTCAGAAAACAACTTTTATAAGATGACAAAGACTTGGAGCTTATAAAACGGATTGAGACGATGGGTGGTTATTTGTACTGCGTGGTTTAATCATTTAAAATAAACAAATGATCATTGTCAAAGTTTGATGAATTTCATTTACCTGTCTACTGTAGATTATTTCTGGTTTATAAGTACACTTTAAGTATACAAGCAGATGAAAGCTACTCACTAGCAGGTACTAGTTCAAAGACTGGAAATCCTTACTTTTCCGATCATGAAGAATTGGTAAAATGGAGGTGATTCTTTCAATAAACGAGGGAAGTAATGATTACACGAGAAGTGAAGATGAAGAAACTTAGTGATTATGAAAAAATTCTAGGCATTTAATAGTGATAATTCCTGACTGCAACACGTTGAAAACGCATACATTATTAAAGTAAATGTACGAAATAAATTGGTTGAACCGCGTGAAGACAACGCCCAAAAAGAAATATTAGTCTGCAAGAAACTCCATTCTAAAATGTGCTGAGTTCTGATCTCTGATGAGTTGATATATTAAAGTTCACTGAAAGAGACAATGAGTTTAGAGTTCGACCCAACTTTTCGACATTTGGAAATCAAACTTACTAGGAATAACGTGTGCCCGATGAGAACACTCTGTTGGGGTCATTAGTTGATTTCATAGACAGATTTTCCTCATACTTCGTTATGATGAAATTAATTATAGTATGATAGAGTATTTTAGCTCAATCAGTCCGTAGAATCTCTTAACTAAGCAAAGCGGATACATTTAAAAAAGAAGACAAATCGAATATTATTTGCGAGACAATCTGTAACAACTGACATTAACATCATACTGAATGAAGTGGCCATTGTTTTCGTCTTTATATAAACATCGACTGACTCCCAAACATACTTATATTGGTATACATTGATAAATAAATTTCAGGTGAACCCTTGGATAGAAACAACGAAGGAGACAAGTCTTCAGATTAACAAATTAATGAGTCATTCAGTCGATCAGCCGTAACGCAGAACCTAGTACATATGTACATCGGTTCAAATTGTCATACCCTATCAACACAGAGATTAAATTGTCAAGCCGAATCCCGGAATATTAGAGGTAGTAACACTATAAGTGGGAATAGAAAAGCTTAGGCATCAAAGATATGATTTGAGAAAATATAAATTAGTGAAATAGAAACACAAAAAAAGTTATGAAAAATTCAGAAGCTTAGAATTTGAGGGGATAATAAGAATGGTGCACCTGGGCCATGGAATAATTTCGACCCATGTCATTAAGTCTCCAACCACTGGTTACGATAATCACTCAAACCTCAATCAGGTAGTCTGCATCTACTAAAATGGCTCAGTACAACTATCGATGACTTCATGGACTGATGCCATATTTTGGTTTGGCCGCCTCTAGCTTTCATCCAGCCTACCTCCTACACCAAAAAAACATCGCCCGTCCAAGGTAGGCGGTCAGCAGGCTTCCTTAGCTAAAACCCTAGAGTCTCTTTCCATTGATGTGTGCTGTGTCTCCGAAACACGCATACAGGATTCCAGTGTGGTCATTCACTTGACCTCACCTCGGCAAAACGGAGAGCCAACGAGATACACCCTCCGTGTATCTGGTGACCCGATGGCCAGTTCTCGTGGACTGGCAGGTGTAGGCATAGCACTAAGCATGAGGGCGGAACAAGCACTGTTAGAGTGGATCCCTGTCAACAGTCGTCTATGTGCTGTTCGGCTAAACGGCTCCGTAAGAACTCAGAAGGATAGGGATACTCGTCGTTTCTGCCTACGCTCCCACCGACTGCAGCTCAGATGAAGTGAAAGATGAATTTCACAGAAAGCTATCTGAACTTCTTCAGAAAGCTAAACGCTCACACATAGTACTCATAGGGGGTGACTTTAATGCTCAGATAGGTAGCTTAAACCAAACAGAAAGGCATTTAGGTGGATATTTTAGCATTCCGGCACAGCGAACAGATAATGGTGATCGTCTGCTGCAACTGTGCTCAGACAATCGCTTATTTTTAGCGAACACAAATTTTAAGCATAAGGAGAGACATCGTCTAACATGGCGACCCCTACACCAAACCAACGATGGACTCAAATAGACTATATTGCCATCAGTCACCGTTGGATAGGATCGGTAGAAGATTGTCGCTCACTCTGGAGTACCTGTTTGGACTCCGACCATGCCCTAATACGGGCACGCATCTGCTTGCGCCTCACTGGACGCAAAAAAGCCACAGTAAAAAGACCCATTAGAACTGAATTGAGTAGCGAGAAAACCAAAAGTAGGTTCCAGGAACAACTGAGGTCACACTTAGGTAGTTCTGAAAACGAGACCGACCCAAATGTTGCTTGGAAACATATACAAACAGCTGTGGAAACAGCAGTGATATCTATCAGTGATTTAAACCACAGGGTTACAAAGAACCAATGGATTTCCTCTAAGTCTACTGCACTGATGGATTCTCGTTAACTCATCCCATCAAGGTCTGAACACGATGATGAGCGACAACAAATCAGATCTAGGCTAAGCAAAAGTCTAAGAAACGACCGTGAGCAGTGGTGGGCAACGAAAGCAAAAGAGATGGAAAAGGCAGCGGCTATAGGGAACACAAGACAGCTCTACAGACTAATAAAAGAAACTGGAATTAATAAATCAAGTGTAAGTCAGACTGTTTCGGAAAAAGACGACACCCTCATCTGCTCTCAGTCCAGACGTTTAGAACGATGGGCGGAACATTTCAGAGAACAGTTCAGCTGAACTTCAGCTACTCTACAACTACCCTCCATTCCCGGACAGTGTGAATGGAACGTTGAAGTAGGTCCCCCAACTCTAGCGGAAGTTAAAAAGGCTATAGTTAATCTGAAACGAGGAAGAGCAGCTGGTCCAGATGGATTGGCTCTAGAGGTCTTTAAGAATGGTGGTCCAATTTAAGCGATTAGGTTGACTAATATTTTAGCTAAGATCTGGGAGTTAGACGTTATTCCATCTGACTGGTCACAATCACTTATCGTCCCAATATATAAGAGAGGGTTAAAATCATCCTGTGACAACCATAGAGGGATTAGTTTAACTAATATAATATCTAAAATACTAGCCTCGATAATTATTAGACGCCTAACTAAGACTCGTGAACTGCAAACACGAGAGAACCAAGCTGGCTTCAGACCTGGTCGTGGCTACATCGACCACATATTCACCATTCGTCAGGTTCTAGAACATAGGCATACTTATCGACGTCCGACAATGGTGGTCTTTCTTGACCTAGAAGCACCATTTGACTCTGTAGACCGCGAGATTCTGTGGTAGTGTCTGTCATTGAAAGGCGTACCCCAGAAGTACATAAACCTTATAAAGGCTCTTTACTCGAACACTACTAGTCGAGTCAGGGCTTATGGCGAACTGTCATCTACTTTTGCAACCTCAAGTGGTGTCCGTCAAGGCTGTCCACTTTCTCTATTTTCGTTTAACTTCATCATAGACCTATTGATGGAAATAACATTCTCGTCTACTGAATTCTCGTGTATTGATCTCCTTCCAGGAGGTCCACTTATCGACTTAGAATACGCAGATGACATAGTCCTGTTTGGTGAAGACGCTGACAAAATGCAGTCTTTTGGTAGCACTAAGCAACAATCCCAGAATGTTTCGAATGCGCTTCTCTCCCTCTAAATGCAAGTTATTGCTTCAGGACTGGTCTGCGTCAACACTTGAACTAAGGATAGGGAGTGAAGTAGTCGAACGCGTTGACAACTTCACTTATCTTGGAAGTCTGATCAGCCCTAATAGGTTGGTGTCTGACGAAATCTCAGCACGGATTCGGAAAGCTCGCTTGGCTTTTGCCAACTGCCGTCACCTATGACGAAGGCGAGATATCTGTCTATCAATAAAAGGACGGGTATGCTGCGCGGAAGTCCGTTCTGTTTTTACGGCAGCGAAACATGGCCACTAAGAGTAGGCGACACTCGTAAACTATTAGTATTTGACCACAGATGCCTTAGAAATATTGCTGGCACCTGCTGGGATCACCGGGTAAGTAATAGTGAGGTTAGACGCAGGGTATTAGGGAATGATGGTAAACCAGTTGATGAGGTTGTTAATCTTCATCGACTGAAATGGTTGGGTCACGCGATGCGTATGCCCGAACACCGACTATCACGACGTGCAATGCTATCCGGTATTGGAGATGGTTGGAAGAAAGTTAGGGGCTGCCAAACCAAAACGTGGCATCAGTGCTTGAAGACACTAACTTCTAGTTTGAGCCATGTTGGTAGATGCAGACTACTTGGTTGGGGTCCGTGTGACTGTCGTAACCAATGGTTGGAGACTCTGGGTGACATGGTTCAGAATCGATCACAATGGCGTCGGTGTATACACTCTCTGTCTTCCCTTAAACTAAGAGATTAAAATCACTTCATATCTTTCTTTCTACGAACCAATTCTTTCTTCTTGTACTATATCTCTATATGCAATCTTTCTCTTATATATTACTACCTTTGACCTAACCACTGCTATGAATCCGGTGTTCATCTTGTTGTGCTGATGCGGTATGGCAACCTGGACCGATGCACATATGTGCCTGGTCCTACGTTGTAGCTGACTGACTGAGGCGGTGGTTGGACATACTTAACACATGTTCTAACCACCTACGTTAATGAAGATTTACTACCTGATCAATAGATTTGCCATCCTTAACTAGTACTCTATTACTAACCAAGCTACACGAAGCGGCGCATATGTATTTGATGCCCCTTTGCACCAATATTTATGTATTCAAATAAATAAATTTAATCAAAAAAGAATAGGACTAGTGTTTAGAAACCTGATTGAAGAGTGAAGAACAGACCGACTTCCCTTGATCGAATATGAAGGATTTTACTACAAAGTACTATCTGTTAACAGAAATTATGCTGTTAATTTAAACTACAATAAAAAGGTCGTAATTGACAAAAAAGTCATCTCATTTCAGATTAAAATAAGGTTTTGTGAAGCTTCATGAAATACTCAGCCGCATATTAATATTTGTGTAAAACTGTGCTGATATAAACTGCGCAAAAAACTAGAACTCAACTGCTGGAAGTAAACAAAATCTCCTGTATCACATGAACTGATATAGAAAAACTGTGAGTCTTAGTGTTGTGGATGCGGAGGAATAGACCAATAATTGTCATGTTAAGTCCAATGGTGTCCTTGGACTTTAAATGGATATTTCTATTGGTCGATATCTGTTCACTTGTTGTATATTGTACAAAATGTTGTTTTCTATTTTATGGTACGATGTGGTGTGCTGGATTGGTATATAAACAAAGTATGTTTGAAATATAATGATTCATATCTCAGAGGCTGTGACTTGTGTTCTGGACTCAACTGGCTGGGCTAGACAGGGAAGTGGGACCATTCGAGACTCTAGGCCGTTCGTTCGTGTTTACGTGTCACTCTAATCGATCGATAACACAGGGTAGAATTCGACCTCAACCTAAAGCCATAACACTTAGTAAACACTTACGTTGCAGAATATAATTAATAACGACAACCAAGTTAGTTATGTCTGACTTTTGAGTTGACTATACATCAATGAACACTGCTAACTCTTTATAAATATAACCTTCTACCCATGCACTTTACTCCATATTACTCTTCAGCGCTTGCTTTTAAAATTGCATTTAATGAAGCCTGGTTCAACGACATTACGGTAAGTGCTTAAATAAGATATTTGTATGAAAAATAAATCTTACGAGAGGATTAAGTTTTATTTACAAGCACGTCTACCCTTGCACCAGACGTATTTCCTTTTTCAACGCTTAAAAGAATAACTATATATATATATATATATATATATATATATATATATATATATATATATATATATATATATATATATATATATAATGAACACCAACTTACTTTAATACGCTTACTAACACTTTCCCCATCGTTTGATATAGATACAGCGTGATTTGTTTTATCAGTAACAGTAGCAGCCGCCAATGCCATTACTTCATCACGAGAAAGCATGACCACACGTCTTCGTGTTTCGGGTGTAGAAGACTTAATTAGTAAAAAAAGAAATAATGAAATTCTTCTTAAAATCATAGGGCTAGTTATATGGTGTTCCAGTAATATTACAAAGTCGAAGAATAAATATCCTGTTATGCAATGTTATAATGCAACTGTTATACAGTACTTAGAATATTCATCTTAGAAGTTAAATTTTGTTGTTAGAAAATATTGGATATAATAGAATATAGTAATCAACCTGGTGGACTCATTCTTGAGCTACAAACTTCTCTGTGAGTGCTAGTGATACTAACCGTCTGTCTAAACTGACATAAGTGAGGCTATGCTCGAAATTGTCAGAATACAACGGTGCTAAGACTAAGGATAGATCCGTTGCGAAAATGTTTTGACACCAAACTGTCTTAATAGAATTTAGTTCAGTCCTTCAAACTCATATAGATTTCATAAAAAAAGTAATGAGATCCTTGTTAATATCAAAAACTGAAGCATGGATTGTTTGCGGATTCGAACACTATTGTTGTGACGTGCGGTGTCCGAGTTTGGTTTTGATATATAATCTTCCTATGCAAGAGCCCAACTGAATGATTGAGTGAGGAAGAACTCTATTGACAAAGCCGAATTGGCTATTATGTACTCATCCACACTTACACTCCTTCAGAAAGTCAAACCATCTTCTGTTGTACTGCCAGTTGTTTGTGATAGAAATAAGGAAACACTTGAGACCTTAGTTCATTTAATGAGTCAATGTTAATCTGTTAAGATCTATCCCATACATATTAAATACTAAAATCACTATTTCCTAGATGTAAGACTTTGCTAACCTACATATATATTTAAAACTCACCAGATTTGAAGAAAGTTTAAATATTTTTAAACCTATCTTTCCATTTCGATTAGAAGTGCTTGTGAAAAGAGAAAAACTAGATCGATGTATAAGTAAAATGGTGTATTTACTAAACTTTCAAACATTGGATCTAAATTCCACAACCACCATAAAAATTAATTTTATCAGGAAATTCGGAAAGTCTCACTGACTTTGAAATAACGGAAACACCATAATACAGTACATGTGCTTCTAAACAGTCATCTAATAATATATGTAACGCGTTACCACATTCTCTGTTATAACATGAAATTTAAAATATAAACCACAATTTCTTTACAAAGTAACATCTTGATTCCAGGTTAAATAATTATAGATATAACTCCAAAGCTGTGATGGGTTCGAGGTATTTATGAATAGTCAATGAGTTTAGATTATCAAAATGAGGGGATGGAATATGGATAAATAGATGAACTTAATGATGCAACGTGGTGAAGTGATAAGTACTCAGATATCTGAATAAACGAATACCAAAAACAAGGCCAGTAACCGAAAGAATAAATATTTTCTGACAAAACAACAACCCTATATATCAAGGACCTACTTATTGCACAAACAAGCATGTCTCTCACCAGCAAAAACAGCCTTCACTAAACTTTATAAGAGCAACCTTGAATACCAGTATTTAATAATAACTGATAAATCGAAAAGAAACCGACAAATTTTTACAGGAATGTTAGGTTTATCATTATTCAGTCTTAAGCTTTATTAATAAATCAAAAATGAACTTACAGAGTTTTTAACTGGTAAGCAATAATTCTGAGCATGGGGATCCACACCATTTGTTACAACTCCCTGAGTTTCATACAAAATAAGTAGAATTATTTTACCTCATCATTCATCAAATTATACAAAAAAGAGCACACAAAATGTTTAAGCTTTGAGTAGCAATTTTCACTGAGTTCAATATTCATTTCTTGTACAAATACAGACGTCAATTCATTTAGCGTGCATAAACTACAGATAAAGCATATAATTGTTAAGAAATTAGACTTACGACAACAGTCGGGGATCTTCATTGAGTACAGTTAACAAGAATAATCTCATATGATCACGAATACGTGAACTCATGTTTCAAAATCTCCCGGAAGTTTGCTAGATTTAGGGTAATAAGGAACTCCTAGTAATCTAAGTAGATTTCAATGATGCATCTAAAACTACAGAATAGTTTGATCAAAATTAAACAACATAATTCAATTGATTTCTATTTTAAAATAATTTAGTGTTATGCTTTAACTTAATTCTACTTATATAACCATTGCCAAGAAGGCCCTACTCACTGCCTTCTCGCGTGGGGGTGAAGTTTACAAAATTGAGAGGATGAAAAGCGGAGATTTGACTCTTAAACTGAGTTGGTGAGCTCGGAGGACTTACCTATGAGAGTTGGTAAATTCTGGCTCCAAACCAATAGTCACATAAGCACCAGGATCCTGAGTGAACAAATGGCGTATGAACCAATTGTTGGTCACCGACTACCATGGGACTCCAACTTCTGACGTCTCTTCAATGCCTTTTGGATTAGACCCCTAGGTCAAAGACTCAGGGAGTGATCCCTAAGAAAACCACGTGTCCCTGTTCGGACACCCGCACAGTAACCCAGCACACATAAAAATTCAATGATTTATATGGAGTATTTATATTTGGGCTCCCCTTTGTACAAATGTTTGCGTTCAAAAAATAAATAAATTATACGCCAATGAATAGTCTTAAAGTCACTATCAATGCACATTCAACTGTAGAATTACAGTCGAAACTTTCGAATCCAAGCTCAGAACCCCCAATTTTGGTTACGTGATATTCACATGAGTAGACGGCGCATACGCTAGATCAGTCGCCACAAGCCATGCACCAATATCATGAGAACCACTGGATTTTCCTGTTATAACTTACTTACTCGGATCTTTGCGAATCATATCGTGCTACAAGTGCTCTGTTTAAAGAGGAGACGGTTGCGAAATGAAGTATCTTGAATTTCTTGTCAATGATGAGTTTGGAATCAAAAAGAAACGAGAACATAATTCACTATAAAACTAAAGGAAGCGAAGGAAAAGTACCGACTCGTCAGTATTGCCTCAGAAAGATCCTACATTATTTCGTGTAGGAGGTGATACGACACCTAGTTGTCATGTCTTAATTGATTGGAAAAAAGTGACATACAAGTTCACTTTTTTCCGGTCACCTATGATATTCAACCACGTTTATTTTGTGCCCGTACTTTTTATATAAGCATATTATTTATTGAGTGAAAAACTTTATCTGGTTAGTAATTGTTCAGGGGCCTAACTCAACCATACGGTCTCGTGAGTAGCCATCACTCCGTCACATTATATCAGTGAGTCCACCTATCGATTAGCACTCTATCCATTGATTTCGACATTCGAAATTTCGTCCAATCTAATAACAGAAAATCCTCATAACAATAGCAACATCCTAAATGGCAAACTAATGAAACCTGTGATTACATATAAAGGTTACCAGCCACTGATAACGTCATAGCGGAAGGATTGTCATCCTGTGGCAACAAAATCTTTTCAATATTACATGATCACCATACCTAAATTTAATTATTTTCTTATTCTATTTGAGTTCTCGCGAAAAATAATTGTTTTTCGAGATCGTCCTCATAGAAAACAAAACTACATATTTCATACTACTATTGGTAATCTCAAGAAAAAAATGAAATTTCGTCCTTTCTAATAGTTAATATTTGAGTAACAGCTAGTGACTTGACGCTCAAGTTAGCCTACATAAATCTGAAAAAGAGAAACTTTTATGATTACAGAGAGATCGAATGTTTTTTTAATAAATATGAATACTGCTTGAAATGGGGAAAATAAGTCGTATTCTACACAACTCTTCCGTGGAAAACAGACATGTTTAGTGCAATGTTAACTTTATGCATAAATAAATATGTATTCATTTTACTTCTTCACTACGTAGTTATGGAGATTTTTCACTATATTAAAGCTTACGCCAAATTAAATTAGGGTAATCCCAAAACACAACGAAAATACCAACTAGTCTACGTACAACAGTCGAATGTCTCGTCTTATTGTCTATAATGCTAATAGGTCCTCTTCTGAAAACCGTATAAAAGCAATCTTTACTGCTTGAGGTCACTGGTAATGATAAGCTCATGTATACACACGACGTCCGAACTCATTATGTGTTAAAAGATGTCTTTTTATCGCACAAAATCTAAAACTTATTCTATTTATTTAAGCACATAAACACTGGTACAAAGGGAGCCAGAATATAAATACGCCACGTAAATCATTGAATTTGTATATGCTGGGTTACTGTCCGCTTTTCATCCCCTCAATTTCGTAAACAACACCCCAATCAAAACATAACATTGATGCACCACGGATGTTGACATATAGTCTAAAGTAGTCAGCAATAATTATCTTGAAGAATTGGTAAAATGGAGGTGATTCTTTCAATAAACGAGGGAAGTAATGATTACACGAGAAGTGAAGATGAAGAAACTTAGTGATTATGAAAAAATTCTAGGCATTTAATAGTGATAATTCCTGACTGCAACACGTTGAAAACGCATACATTATTAAAGTAAATGTACGAAATAAATTGGTTGAACCGCGTGAAGACAACGCCCAAAAAGAAATATTAGTCTGCAAGAAACTCCATTCTAAAATGTGCTGAGTTCTGATCTCTGATGAGTTGATATATTAAAGTTCACTGAAAGAGACAATGAGTTTAGAGTTCGACCCAACTTTTCGACATTTGGAAATCAAACTTACTAGGAATAACGTGTGCCCGATGAGAACACTCTGTTGGGGTCATTAGTTGATTTCATAGACAGATTTTCCTCATACTTCGTCATGATGAAATTAATTATAGCTTCATCAGTAGTAAACAGATCTTTCTCACATACGATTGTGTTATAGATGCTACATATTAACTGAATCACGGTTACAAACAAGCCATATGATTTAATTTCGATGGTAGCTGTAAGTGTCCCCTAAATTATAGCATTACTTGCTTTATATAGACTACATCATTACTGGTGTCAATCTCCCTATGACCAAATCTCTCGAGCTGGTCTCCTTGATATATATCAAGATCTTTTACCAGTACCATGTTAGTATCCTTGGTTCTCGTTATCGAATATTGTCACTGAACATTTTAAAAACAATGATAAACTTCAGTCGTAGCTTCTCTTAGGAATCGGACTGTTAAGTCAAATATTTGAAAAACCTACGACACTTACCAGCGAAAGAAACAAGATGCATCGCAACTGTTTTTTCACACCAATCCGGAAGACGCTAAACTGGTTTCAAGAACTGTATCTATAAGAGAAGTAGAAAGAGTAAATATTTCCGAAGACATAGAAGTCTGACCCCAATAGAGCAGACCTGACGATCAACGTATTAACTTTCCTGATAGTGAAAATATATTTAAAGGCTACGAATTTTAGCTGAAATAATTTCAGCTTGCAAGAAAATGTTCGGGAAAAAAGCAGAAAACTAACCGATTAGTAGAAATGACTTGTGAAAAGTTCTTGCAGTTTTATTCCTGTTATTTTGATACTGAACTGTTTTAGTTTCTCCGGGTTTATAAAAAAACTTATGAAACCAGCATTCACATGATCTTCCTGAGGTTGATGCTTTTACTGAGCTCAAAAAACTGTTAGAGAATGTTGTTTCCATGCTTTAAATGAAGCGACATGAAGCTATGGAAAGTGGAACAAAATCTCTAGCCACAAAACTGACCAAAACAAGCCCTCAGATTAGCTGACTACATTTTACTTCAATACAGGCTATTTCTGCAGTTAGCATAAGGCTTAAGATAGTGAAAAACTGAGAAGCGGGGACAGACCTCTACTGCTGATACGATTACCCCTGTGTTGTTAAAACGGCACTTATGGGAAACACCTCTTATGGCATCAATTTGTTGATTTGCAGTAGTTAACATATTTGCGATTCAGAAGTAATGTTTCTTGATGCCATGTTTTTAGATCCAAGAAAATTCAAGCACATGAATGGCCGTAGTTTGAGGATGGCATCACCTTGCAGGGTATATAGAGGGACCCGATCGAAGCTGCTACCTTGACGCGGTGGTCGGGCTTGCCTATCGTGATGACCCAACCGAGCTATATTGGCTGGAACATATGTTCCTGCAGGTTCTACCATGCCAGGCAGGTCGATTGGTGAACGGTAAGACTAAAAGCAGCAACTCAAGGTCTGAGGGCGAAGTCGTACTGCTGACTGTAGAGGGGTGTGACAGCAGTAAGGTGTTTCCCTCGGACATCCAGCATGACAGCGATGCTGCCTTCCCACAAGGAGGGGTGGGGTTAGAAAAGGTCGACCCTAAAAATGCACACCTCACCTTACTTCACGGATTTCCGTCTCCGGCGGTAAGGCCCTTTGAAGAACGGAGCTAACACGTCAAAAAGCTTCCACAAAAAGGCCGTGAGCGACCGGCCTCAAGCAGTTATCCCTTGGGCTCTGCGGTCACGCTCCCAGGTCGTCAAGACCAACACTAATCTAATTTCCTTTTCAGGTTCCTCAAGAAATACCCTTCCACGGTGTGGGCAGCCGGGAAGTGATATCAGCCCTCATACCCGTGACAGCACAAGAGACCAAGGTGGCCACATTCAAATCTTTCCTACACCTTCTAATACCTCTCTTATCTCCCCGACTAACCCTCCCCACGTCTCTTTATCACTTCGCACCGCTAGGGCAAACGATTCGAGTACGTGGAACGCTATTCCTGGTCTCCTGAAACCACGCTCTAAACTACACGTAGGAGCTTTTAACGTACGAACACTTTGCCAAATAGGACAGCAGGATTCCTTAGCTAAAACTTTAGAATCTCGCGCCATCGATGTGTGCTGCATCTCCGAAACGCGCATACAGGATCCAAGTAGCGTCATTCATTTGACCTCACCATGCCAAAATAAAGAACCGACTCGATTTACGCTTCGTGTATCTGGAAGCCCTGATTCTGCTTCCCGTGGCCTCGCCGGCGTAGGTATAGCATTGAGTCCTAGGGCAGAACTAGCTTTCTTAGAGTGGATCCCAGTAGACAGTCGTTTGTGCGCTGTCCGACTGAACGGAACAGTAAGAATCCGGAAAGATAGGGACACTCGTCGTTGCCTCTTCGTCGTCTCTACCTATTCTCCCACTGACTGCAGCTCAGATGATGTAAAAGATGAGTTTTACAGAAAGCTTTCGGACCTTCTCCGAAAAGCTAAGCGCTCGGATGTAGTAATAGTGGCCGGTGACTTTAATGCTCAAGTAGGTAAACTAAGCGATAGGGAAAGACACCTAGGTGGATCTTGTGGTGTCGTGGCTCAAAGAACAGATAATGGCGACCGTCTGTTGCAGCTATGCTCAGATAACCGCCTGTTCCTTGCAAATACTAACTTTAAACATAAGGAAAAACATCTTTTAACATGGAGACCCCCTAATTCGTCCCAACGTTGGACCCAAATAGATCACATCGCTATCAGCCACCGATGGACGGGCTCGATAGAAGACTGTCGCTCATTCTGGGGCACATGCTTAGATTCAGATCATGCTCTAGTACGAGTGTGTATCTGTCTGCGTCTTACTGGACGTGGGAAAGACGCTGCAAGTAAACCTCTTAGGGCCCTACCTAATGATAATCAAGCTAAGAGTATATTTCAGGAACAACTAGGAAAACAGTTAGGCAGCCATGTATGTGATGCCCACCCCGATGCAGCATGGAATGATATCCGAAAAGCTGTGGAAACAGCAGTGATATCTGCTAGTAAGGTAAACCAGAAGGTTAGGGAGCAACACTGGATCTCAGTAGCATCTATCTCACTGATAGATGCTCGGAAACTCATTCCACCTGGCTCTGAACATAATGAAGAGCGGAGTCAGCTTAAGCGCAAGCTGACAAGAAGCCTACGCAATGATCGCGAACAGTGGTGGGTGGCGAAAGCAAGAGAGATGGAAAAGGCAGCGGCAATAGGTAATAGCAGACAATTGTTCAGACTCGTTAAGGAAACCGGAATTATGAACCCGACCGTTAGCGAAACAATCTCAGAGAAAGATGGACATATTATTTATTCTCAATCCAGGAGATTGGATCGATGGGCAGAACACTTTAGGGATCGGTTCAACTGGCCTTCAGCCACACTTCGGTTTCCCACGATCTCTAGTCAACCTGAATGGCAAGTTAATGTAGGTCCTCCGTCCCTTTACGAAGTTGAAAAAGCCATAGGAAATCTGAAACGAGGGAGAGCAGCAGGCCCTGACAGGTTTACTCCTGAGATTTTTAAGGATAGCGGTCCAGTATTAGCAATGAGATTAACCGAGGTCTTAGGTAGAATTTGGGAACTGAACGTAATCCCATCTGACTGGTCTCAATCACTGATTGTGCCAGTCTATAAGAAAGGAAAAAAGTCCTCTTGTGACAATCACAGAGGAATCAGTTTGACTAATATAGTGTCTAAAATATTAGCTTCAATAATACTTCGACGTCTAACTAAAGCTCGTGAAGAGCAGACTAGAGAAAATCAGGCTGGTTTTCGATCTGGACGTGGTTGTATAGACCAGATATTCACACTACGTCAGGTTCTAGAACACAGACACACATTCAGACGCCCCACAATGGTAGTATTTCTCGACCTTAAGGCGGCATTCGACTCTGTTGATCGTGAGGTTCTATGGCAGTGTTTGTCACTGAAAGGAGTACCAAAGAAGTACATTAACCTTATAAAGGCTCTTTACTCGAACACAACTGGTAGAGTGAGAGCTTATGGCGAACTGTCATCAGAATTGATTACCTCGAGTGGTGTTCGTCAGGGTTGTCTACTCTCTCCATTCTTGTTTAACTTTATCGTAGACATGCTTTTCGAGATAACACTTTCGTCATCTGAATTTCCAAGGGTTGAAATTCTACCGGGAGATCCACTTGTTGACTTAGAATATGCAGATGACATAGTTCTATTTGGTGAAGACGCTGACAAAATGCAGAGTCTTCTGACCACTCTAAGCAACAATGCAAGCATGTTCGGGATGCAATTCTCTCCCTCGAAATGCAAAATGTTGCTTCAGGATTGGGTTACATCGACACCCGAACTAATGATAGGGAGTGAAGTAATTGAGCGTGTCGATCGCTTCACTTATCTTGGAAGTCTCATCAGACCTTGTGGTCTGGTGTGTGACGAAATCTCAGCACGGATACAGAAGGCTCGACTAGCTTTTGCCAACTTGCGTCATTTATGGCGTAGGCGAGATATCCGTCTATCAACCAAAGGACGTGTTTACTGCGCAGCAGTTCGTTCCGTCCTACTTTATGGCAGTGAAACATGGCCGATAAGAGTAGAGGATATCCGTAGGCTACTAGTATTTGATCATAGGTGTCTTCGAAACATTGCTCGTATATCATGGGACCATCGAGTAAGTAACACAGTTGTTAGGAAACGGGTACTAGGTAAGGATGGCAAATCAATTGATGAAGTAGTGAAACTTGATCAGTTGAGATGGCTGGGACATGTGTTACCTATGCCCAACGACCGACTGCCTCGACGTGCTATGTTCAGTGGTATAGGAGTAGGTTGGAAGAAAGCTAGGGGCGGCCAAATCAAAACATGACACAAGTCCATGAAGTCACTGACAAGTGGACTGAGTCATGTTGGTAGGTGTAGACTACCTGATTGGGGACCGCGAGATGATAGCAACCGATGGTTACAGACCCTGAATGACATGGCTCAAAATCGTTTGCAATGGCGCAGGTGCATCCACTCTCTGTGTTCTCCCAAATTCTAATCTTCTGAATTCTTCATGTCCCTTTTTTTCCTCTTTCCAAATTTATTTCACTGGATTATACTCTTTAAATAACATCTCCAAACCCTAATCTTCCCGATTACTGCTTATACTCTTATTACCTCTACCACTATGGGATTTGAATCGACAACTGCATCTCTGTGCTAATGTGGTGTGGCAACTCGAACTGATGTACGTACGTACGAAGTTCTACATTGTTACTGACTGACTGACTGATATAGAGGGAAGATAATGGCTTGTAACTTGACATTTCAGAACCGACCCTCTTTAATTTTATTCCGTTATTCTCTAGCGCGAATCGAGTCGATAATTGACAGCATGTATACTTCGTTAACGTCACCATAAGATCAAACCGGAGTCAGATCAATCGGCCAAAAAACTACTCTTGGAAGCCACTAGAGGAGCGCTTTTTTTAAAATGATTAGGTGAGTTAAATTTGAGCTACTGAACATTTGTTGAATCGTAACGATTCGCAGTTTATCAATCCAACATTTAAGTTGATTTCTGATGCTCCTAATGCGCTTGTATGAAAATTATCGACAACTATGGATACGAGGAAAAATAAGAACCCTTGAAAGCACTGTCCAGCTAGAACTCTTATCAGTGTCGTTGACAAGTGATTCATTTGGGTTCGACCAGAAACTCGTGGGTACATAAAAAATAGAATGGTCATTTTTGTTTCATAACGGAAGAATCGATAAAGTACTTGGTAAAAACTTTTCTGTGGTGAATAAAGTCTAATGGTGCAACTTGATGTTCTTTTTGAAGTCGATAAATGTTCTAGTCAGTGACAAGACGTCACCTGAGTAATGCAATTTCAAAAATACGTTTGTTTAGAACTGGCTAGCTGACATTAATTATGATCTCATTTTATCTCGATAAGCTCAAGTTATAAGTCTTCATAATCTTTTGGGTATCTGCCTGGATTTCAGGCACGTGTAAGAGGTGTTTAAGTGTTCCTTCACATGCCCTAGTTCATCCAGAATCAAGACACTGACAGTAGCTCTACAGGTTGGTTATGAAGTAAGGAATTTTGTCACTGAAATTCACCCTCAGTGCTATTAAAAAATAATGTACCGACCTAGATTTTACAACTAAGCATCAAAGATAAAAACGGATACGTTCCGATTCTTCTACTTCTTTGTTAAATGTTTTGAAGCATACAGAAGACTAACTTAACGCGACCAAGTACTATTGAGCTAAATTACTACGCCCACGTTGTTACTTTAATCTACGACCGTAAAGCACAATCAGTAAGTAAAAAAAAAACATTCTCTTGGTCTAATACTCACTTTAGGAAGGACAGTGCTCGATAGTTCTCCCACTTTAATGCTGATTCTAGTGATTTGTAATAAGGTCAGAATATACCGTTGAGGCTATTCAGTAATGTTCAAAACATTCCCAGTACTTAGGATAGATCATCAAACATTGAGATGTTCATCACCTTAAGGAACACAATGACCAACATGGACAATGTGTAAATACAATTTGGGGATCAGCAAGTATGAAAACTCATTAGTGCTGTTTGTATTCTTTTTTCCCAATTTTTAAATAAGTCAGATCTTCTGGGAGTTCTTTGGATTCTTACACTGCACTTAGAAACTAAGACAGCCTGGTCAGGTAGGCTAGAGAATCCTTACATTGTGTGGCATCAGAGCAAGTGTGTATAAGGAAGGCAGCGGTGAGACTATAATTCGTGGATGACCCTTGAGCGCCGCTAAACTGACCTTGAGGGTGTTCACTTAACAACTAGGGCAAAATGAGGGTTATGAACCTGTATGAGGAATCGCGGTAAGACTCTAATTTATGGACGAGCCAATCAGAAGCGTTTGAGGAATTTCAAGGTCACGGCGCTAAGTTCAATACGACATGCACACATTCGATCGTTTTACAGCAGATTTTAGAGAAGAGGTGATTTTTGAGCGACTACAACAGATGGGACTATTAAGAAGTTCCTGTATCTGTGACTGCGGCAATCAAATGACTGCAGCACGATGTGCAGACTACCGTGATGACATTAGATTTCGTCGTACTATATGTTAGAAGATAAAATCTGCTCGAGCTGGCACTTTCTTCGCTCGATCACGACTCAGACTAAGGCAAATCATGATAATTAATGCAAATTGGATTATGAAGTCACCAGTAACATTGGCTGCGGCTTTTGCAGATGTTATAGTACGTGCAGCCTGGCAGTACGATATATACCGATGATTGGAAACCGTATAGATGCATCCATAGACTTGGGTTTGTGCACCCTAACCCTAAACCTTAACCCTATGCACTATGATTTCAGGACATCTGAACCTTTATCTAACCTTAACAAGAAGAATATCCGCTGTAATTCATAAGTTTTTTATCATGTGTTTTCACTTTATACTCTTCTGACTGGCTAATAGTTTCAAGGTCACTTAAAAATTCGTTCAAAGGTCGTCCATAAAATATAGTCCTACCGGAATCGCAATTATAATTTACAGTTGATGATTAAGGTTGGGAATAGGATTTCGGGTTCTCATCGCGAACTAACATGAGGTATAATCCCAAAACTATATTTACCCTAATGGATGAATGAATTTCTGCCAATATCCGAGACATGTTATCTTATACGTGATTAGTTCGTCCACAAATTATAGTCTCGCCGCAGCTACTCAGTTCCCCGTAACTCTAGTTGGTGGTGATCAGTCAATGGGTGGCAATTATACAATGATAACGGAAGTCACAAGCCTACAAAAGTACACTTCAAAACACCTGAAGTAATGTTAAATTTCTTCCCAAGTTCAGGAAGATTCATTTACAAATCGATTTGCAAATAGCCTAACATACTTGCTGGTGCTAATATTTTCACAATTACTTAGTATGCGTATCAAAAAGGCTTATCACCATACTTGGTTCCTTGAAAGAGTACATATTTTGTGGTGGCAATGTCACAATCTACATTAGGTGCAATCACCACATTATTCATTGGGTTCAAACCCAATGAACTAGTGTAAACTATCTGAAAAAGCTAAACACAATTGTTATAGAAAACTCGAGTCTAACTACAAGAAAATGTTTTTTACATTCAGATAAACAATTCATCTACCGGCTTACACGAGAATCATGAACAACGAAGACCTTGACCTCCAACCTAAACTTGCCGCGACATTGTGAGCTAAACAATAACATCTGAACATATTGAACTAGACCCCAGATGTAAGCAGTTAGATTTCATCATCAGGACCCAACGCGCGCTTTTCGAACGGGAAGTTTAGTCCTAACGTGATTTGCATTTATCAAACTTTTGCTGTGTTCTTACGCAACAAAAGTACCATTTCAGTTCTAAAGAATCTATCCTGGGCTATACGTTCGGTAGATTACTTTTTTTAGTTTCACTATATTTAATAGTTACCTGTGGTTTTGCCTCAGCTTACTATTCGGTTTTTTTTTGTTTTTCACGTATAGACTAGTTTCAGTTTATATCACTCGTTTTGTCCATTTTTATCCGTTTTCAGTGTGGTTTTTAGTGTTTTTTTAAAAGGTCTTAGGCTCTTGCAAGCATCTATAACATAGTTTGCTTCAACACAGTCATGAAAAACTCATGCAAACGTCCGGGATACCGTTTTGTTGTCACAACTGGCGTGCAGTGCGACAACTGCAAAGGTTGGTTCCACGAAGCATGCACAGATCTGACACCAACTTCTTACAACAGACTCAGCAAGTCAGACCAAAAGTGGGTATGTGTCACGTGCAGCACGGACGCAGTAGTCTTGCTGAGCAACATCATTGTCCTACTGACAGGTCTTCGGAACAAGTTGTCAGTTAACTTGGTTAACGATAGTAAAAAAACTGGTCGACAAACAAGAGCGTGCGACGGACTCAAAAATAGGGATGTCGATAGGTATACCATCGATGGAGCATCCATCAACACTAATGACGACGTGTCGAGGCTCAGCACCATCATCACGTCGACGGTACTAGACTCCCTAAGCAAACCCGGGTCTCCCAGCTCAGGGTCCCTGAACACAACAGTGGTTCCCAAAAACCCTGTAGGTGATTCCACACACGTTAAGAGAGCCCAAAAGAACCAGGCATCACCGCCTAAGCCGAGCAACCCAAGTGTTGCTGCACGGAAAATAAGTGGGGATTTGGTCGCACAGTCTACCCCCAGGACTGTTCGTCCGGTCAATAAAGAGCCCAAGACTCAAAAACGCACACTGACCTCCAAACAACAAGTTATTAAACAACAAGTTATTAAACCTGAACCCATCGTGAAACCTGGTAAATTAACAACAGTTCGTGACGATTCTCTCATTATCATGAACCTCGTTGACAATCCTGGCCTTCCTCTCAGTCTGCAGGACAAAAACGACAGGATGCTCTAAGGTGAATTGAACAAGAAGCTCGAACTTCCTAGAATAGAGCCTTTGACGGTCACCTGGCTCACTCGAGGGAAGGATTCTAAGCATCTAAATCACCCGAAGCTTCTACGAGTAACACTTAAGAATGCTATCGACGTAGAGGACGTCTTGCTAGCAAGTCACTTGCTAAAATCAGATGGAAACGTAAGAATATTGCCCGACATACCGTACTCTGAGCGCAGTTTCATACGAAACATCCCTAAAGAATCTCGCGAGTTTTTCCGCGGAAGAAACATAATTGTTCAAGGTATACCGGAAAATGCAGACCCTACTCAATCAAATTCTGACATCAGGGAATGGAAATTCATCAAACAGTCCTTGAGGCTCAAACACATACTGACTCAGCATGTGACGAGACTAGCCAAGAAGGACGGTGATTCCAGACCTCGGCTAATGAAGATAACCTTCCCATCTTCCCACATGGCGGCTGCAGTTCTGGAAGTATTTCGTGCCAACAGACGTCGATCGCCACCTGGAATCCACATGCACCCGGATAGGCCATACGAAGCTAGGACCAAGAACAAAGGCAAGTCGGAGCTGACCATTCCACTTGTGGACTGTCTAAACGATAAAAAAAACGTGTAAAGGACAAAGCCTACCACCTCGGCAAACCTCATATAGGTGGGCTACCTGTCCATTCACATAAGGTTCATACAGAAAAACAGGACGAAGCTCACGCGTTCCAAATTGAAAGCGTAAACTGCTTATATATGAACGCCGCGAGTCTACCAAACAAACTGGATGAACTACGTGAACTTAGCAACGCTAATAAGGCCCATCTGATAGGAATATCTGAAACCTGGATATCTTCTCAGTTCTCGGACCAAGAGTTAGCATTACCTGGGATGACTTTGTTCCGCAACGACAGAAAAACAGGAATTGGGGGCGGAGTAGCCATATACATAAGCTCTTGCTTGGAGGTGCACCAAGTTCACAACCTCGAGTTTAACAATCGTGAGGAATCCATATGGTGCTCTGTAAGATTGTCTAGTACTTCGAGGTGACTTATCAGAGTCATTTACAGGAGGCTAACTGCCGACATCGAGTACGATAGTTGTGCGCTGGAAGGACTATCCCGCTCTACTCGTCTCGGTTTCACACACATCTTGATTCTAGGGGACTTTAATCTCCCTAAAGTCAACTTCGCGGAACACACGTACACTGGAGGCGACAACTCAATTGAAGCTCGGTTCTTCAACCTCATCGATAACTTGGGCTTATATGAAAATGTGAGGTCGGCAACTCGTTGGAGAAACAGTCAGACACCATCGCGCTTAGACTGTGTATTCACTAACAAAGAATTCCTAGTCGACAACCTCTCAATCCTGGCTCCTCTGGGAAAGAGCGATCATGCCGTCATAGCCTTCAGTTTTGTCATCAAAACTAAGCTAAGGTGTCCCAACAATAATTTGCGTTGGAATTTTAAACGGCTGAATGTGCCAGCTCTACATGACTATCTACAACAGGTGGTTTGGGATGTTCACCCTCAACTCGATGTGGATGGTCATTGGGACTTCTTACTGCACACGCTCTTATGTGCTACAGACCATTCAGTTCCTCAAACGGTTCCCAAAAGCTGCAAGCCACCTACAGTAATCAAGAACCGTACCCTTCGCCTGCTAAGCCGCAGAAGGCACTGTTGGGCGGAATACAAACGAACTAATAACGATGAAGCGTATAGGCAATATAAACATATCAGGAACATATGCACGAAGGCTATAAGAGAAGACGGGCTTCAGTACCAGACAAAGCTTATGGACAAATTCGCCCCTAACCCTAGAAGCCTATTCCGTTATGCAGCCTCTCTTCGTCAAGCCAAAACAGGAGTTTCTCAACTGCTAGGTCTTAACGGCCCGACCACACAACGATGGCGACGCCGCTAACCTTCTGGCGGCACATTACTCTCAAACATTTCAGCCGGCTGACATCAACTTTATTGACGACAGTTTCATCTGCAGTTCCACAGGACTTTCTGAAGTGGACCTAAGCGCTGACTTGGATTTCCGGAAATTGCAGCACTTAAGACTAGATACTTCTCCTGGCCCGGATACGGTTCATCCTGCCATACTGAGGGAGGCAGCCTCAATCCTGGCAACGCCGCTTAGCGTGATGTTTTCACACTCGCTTAGCCGAGGCAAATTACCGGAAAATTGGAAGTTGGCTCACATCACACCAATTTTCAAAGGAGATCGACGCAATGAACCTTCAAGTTATCGGCCGGTGGCTCTTCTGTCATTACCTTCAAAACTCATGGAGTCCCTGATATGCGACGGTTTAAATGACTATCTACTGTCCTTAAATTTCTTCTCACCCCAACAGCATGGTTTCAGGAAGGGTTACTCTTGTATAACCAACCTGCTGACTGCGGTGGACAGATGGACAAGCATCCTCGATTGCAAGGGAAAGGTTGATGTCATTTACCTTGATTTCTCAAAAGCTTTTGATAAGGTTAACCACTTGTGTCTTATCAACAAGCTCAAACGACTAGGTATCAAACCACCTCTAATCGACTGGCTTACTTCATACCTAAAAAATCGACACTTTAAGGTTAGGGTTAATTTCACTTTATCTCAGGCTATGGAATGTCCTAGTGGGGTCCCCCAGGGCTCAGTACTAGGGCCTCTTCTCTTCTTGATCTACATAAATGATCTTCCTCAAAAGGTAAGATCAGATTTATTACTTTTTGCCGACGACGTGAAACTTTGGAGAGAGATACGCAACCAAGACGATATACAAGCACTTCAGGAGGATCTGACTCGACGTCAAAGTTGAGCAGACGATAACGGACTTACCTTTAACACTTCAAAGTGTAAAGTAGTCCATCTGCGACATGTCGCAAACTACAGTTACAACTTAGGAAACTCCTCTCTAGTAGTATCCCAAGTCGAAAAAGATTTAGGAGTCCTGGTGCCCCATGACTTAAAGTCTTACGCTAACTGTGACAAAAATGCCTTCCGAGCAAACCTTGCACTGGTAACGTTGAGGCGCATTTTTGGCCAGTTTGACGGAAGAACTTTCCACACAATCTTCAATAGTTTCATCCGTCCCCATTTAGAGTACGGAAACATAGTACTCCCCCCCTCACTCCAAAAGGACAAGGTCACTTTGGAGCGTATCCAACGGCGAGCCACGAAATCAGTTCGAGGACTCAAATCTAAGCCTTACGAAGAACGCCTCCGTTCACTAGACCTTTACCCATTAGAATATAGGCGTCTTAGAGGTGATTTATTAATGGCTTATAGTATTCTTAACACTTCTGGACATCCTCTTAAACATCTACTTAAGCTTAGTTCGAACAATAACCTAAGGGGTAACACCCAGAAACTGGAAACACAACATAGCAAGACGGAATGTAGACACAACTTCTACTCCTTAAGAGTTGTCAAAAGCTGGAATTCGCTGCCGGCCGAGCTAGTCCAAGCGACTTCTCAGGAGTCCTTCAAGAGGCAACTTGACCTATTCTTAAGGACCAAGGACAGCATCACACTATGATTTACCAATTTCTTTTTCTCTCTTATTGTTAACATACCTAGGTTCCTGCCTGGAGGATTTGGTGATCCCCTGCTACTAGACACAGAAGCCTGTTAAGCGAAAGCTTCTTCTATTCCGTCCACAACCATTTGAACCATTTGAATCATAGTTCAAGTGGGTGTGAACGGATAAAAGTTTGTTCAAATAGCTCCCCAACTAAGTATGCACAAGGTGACCACTCGGTAGAAACTTGCAACAGGTCTGTATGTAACC